CTACTTCAGAGATCAGAAGATATCCGGAGAGAGAGAACAGAGGACCTCCAAGGAGATTAGCAGATTATGAAATACAACGTATATAAACTTTGACAAATTTTTTGGTTACAGAGTGGAATGTTTACTGTTCACTGTTAATATGTGCGTAGTTGATTTATATGAAAATATCTGAAGGTGAAGAGGATTGTAATGTTTAAAACTCTTTAAAGAACACTAGGGGGCAGGCAAGGACAGGGGTGAGGAACTAAAGAAAAGGATAACAGCAAAGAGGAGTTGGTAAGATTGGGGGGTTTGTTGGAGAGACGAAATAAAAGTTGAGTTGTTCTGACATATCTGGATTGGATTTATTATAAGAACATTATAGTATCCAGCTGCAGACCTGCAGCACCAGCAGTTTCAGAACCGCAGCCACAGAACCGGAAGTGAGGGGCGGAGCTTACGTTCTTAACAGAGTAGCACCACCTTACGCTTTTTAAGGGGTAATTTGTTTTTATTACACACACGATATGTCATTTTTTATGTATGTATACATTTTATAATGATATATTAAGCATTATATAAACATTAATCTTGTGTAATTTATTTGTAGGCCTATACAGTTTCATTGTACACTGAACAAAATTATAAACGCAACACTTTTGTTTTTGCCCCCATTTTTCATGAGCTGAACTCAAAGATCTAAGACCTGATTGGAGTTCGTCATCGTAACCGACTTGAGTGGGCAAATGCTCACATTAGATGGCGTCTGGCACTTTGGAGAGGTGTTCTCTTCACGTATGAATCCCGGTGTTCACTGTACAGGGCAGATGGCAGGCAGCGTGTATGTGTGGGTGAGCGGTTTGCTGATGTCAACGTTGTCGATCGAGTGGCCCATGGTGGCAGTGGGGTTATGTTATGGGCAGGCGTATGTTATGGACTGTGAACAATATTTGAGAGAAATAGGCCTTTTGTGTACATAGAAAAAGTCTTAGATCTTTGAGTTCAGCTCATGAAAAATGGGGACAAAAACAAAAGTGTTGCATTTATAATTTTGTTCAGTGTATTATGCGAGTTATTTCCTGTTTGTGATATTAAAAATAATGTTTGAAACTTCAGGGCATTTTATATGAAATATACTTTAATCACAAGATTCAAAATAAATGTTTACTCCAAAGTCAAGAACACGTGCATCATACATTTTTCTATATGAAAACTAAAACATTTCAGTAAAACACACACAGCAGCATAATTTTAAAAGTAACAATCAAAATGTACACAATAATTAAACTGAAGTTTATAAAATGAACAATTCACTATTAAGCCCATTTTTTCATCACAATCCTGCATGAAAATTTACAAAATGAACACTTCACTTTAGGGCACATTTTGTCATGACAATCTTGCCTAAATTCAAATGAAAATGTATCAAATATTGACATTTAATCATTTAGCAGACGCTTTTATCCAAAGCAACTTACAAATGAGGACAATAGAAGCAATCAGACCAACAAGAGAACAACAACAGTATACAAGTGCCATGACAAATCTCAGTTAGTCTAGCACAGTACACGTAACTAGGGTTATTTTTTTTAAAGGGGTCATATGCTTTTGCTAAAAAGAATATTATTTTGTGTATTTGGTGTAATGAAATGTGTTTATGCGGTTTAAGGTTAAAAAAACACATTATTTTCCACATACTGTACATTATTGTCGTTCTGAAATGCGTCGATTTTTACAAAGCTCATCGGTCTGAAAAGCGAGGTGTGCTCTGATTGGCCAGCTATCCAGTGCGTTGTGATTGACCGAATACCTCAAGCGTGTGACGGAAATGTTATGCCCCTTACCATACTGTGATGCCCTGTCCAGCCAGAGCGACGAGACAAAAACATTAAAACCCATTATAAACGAGGCATTTGTTGCATCCAGTGGGGACATAATTATGGATTATAATGACTTATACTGTCTTTTTACACATTGCATTGTGCCGCGTAAACATATAACCATGTCTGTATTTGTGATCGGAGAAACGACAAACAACAAGCGCTACTCTACACTCCTCAAAACTCACGTTTGAATCGTCAGTGGCAAATTCTTTAAATATGAAAACTTACTTACAGACTGTGAGTCAGAACAGCCGGCATTGTAGTCCACTCTTCCAGGATCAGGAAACAGTCCTCCATAAAATGGGCTGCACACATCTGAATATTTGGGTTGAACTGTTCTGGAACGTTGTTGTAAATACAACTTAACCACTGATTTCTAGTTGTGTCCTCTTTTGGAAGGCCAAACAAATTAGTTTCACTTTCACAACGAAACACACAGCATCACACACACGGGCTAGAGTGAGGAACTTGAGGCGGGCTTGAGAACGGTGCGGCCGGTGGATTCGACGGATTCGAAGCGGATATCGTCCTCTTTTGGAAGGCCAAACAAAGTAGTTTCACTTTCACAACGAACACACACAGTGTATTTACGACATGGCGGCAAAAACAATACTACAGCGAGAATAAAAGTTACGCCTTCTTTCTTTGTGTGACACCCTGTATGTGTAGTCACAGGAATAATTTGTTTTTTCCCATGTATTTGATTGATGTATCCCAATGTGTTTGCTGATATTGCTTAATGGTGATGTGTAGTAATCTCAGTGGACAGTAGGGGGTGACGCTGTGCTGATTAAGGACTGTGTGGTTAACAGTGAGTCCCGGAGAAGAGGCCATTACCAGAACGACTCCATGACTTCTTTGTTTATTTAAAGGTGGGTGAAATCGATCACCTAGGACATAAAACATAACAAAATATGTCGATTTCGTGTGTATGTTATTTCAGGAGGGTAATATACATTTCCTGAGTCGAGTTAAAATGTTTAAAAGGGACAGTGTTTGTGTTTATGAAAATGTCGTTTCATTCGCGAACATTCCGCGTCATGCCTGGTATTAAAATAATACAATCCAAATGGTTAGAGGCTCCAACACACTGAATACCCAAAGTAATGTAATGTTTATTGTGTTTATAGCATTAAGAGCGATGTATTGAGCAATCGCCATGTGTGTTAAGATCTCTATGTATAAATATATATATATATATTGCCTATATCATTTTTGAATAGTATATACTGTTGATGTTTGGATATTATAATATGTTTTAATGATCTTTCTTCTGATTAAGTATATTCGCTGTATATAGTAATTCAGTTTAAATGTTCATATTGTGTAACCAATGGTTCGCTCAAGTATTCAGTTATACAGTGATTGATTATACAGTGGTCATTTGCACATACGAGAGAGACTGTAATATATTGTGATGTAAAGGAAAAAGGTATTGAGTTAGATGACAGAAATACAGATTGAGTGTAAGAAAACTCTTACAAGAGTTATGCAACATGTTTATTAGTGTTTGGTTTAAGTGAGTCACATGTAAGGTGACATAAGACATTGTGATTTAATTATACAATCTTTGAATTATTGTAATAAAGCATTATAAGAGCGACTCCATGACTGAAAGCAGCACAACTGTGTCTCTCTTTGTTTATTTAAACAGAAAACTTACTGCAGCACGGCGGGTGTGCTACATTTGCGTGAACATTTGGGCGGCGTTATGCAAATCTTCCCACATCATAACATAGACATGTGGGGGCGTGTTCGAATGAGCCGTTTTAGGTCTGTGTCTCTCTTTGTTTATTTAAACAGAAAACTTACTGCAGCACGGCGGGTGTGCTACATTTGCGTGAACATTTGGGCGGCGTTATGCAAATCTTCCCACATCATAACATAGACATGTGGGGGCGTGTTCGAATGAGCCGTTTTAGGTAGGGCATGGCTGACTCTTAACTTTTATAAAGAATATCTCTTTGGATTTGAGACTTTAGTCTTTGCAACTTTACAGATCTTCTTCATGCACCAAGAGCTTGTAACACTTCAAAGAGAAAGGAAAAATTGAAATCGCATCATATGACCCCTTTAAATAATAGAATGGAATAGAACAGAACAGAATAGAATAGGTAAGTGCTAGTATTAGTTGGTCAGGTGATGGCGAAAAAATTTAGTTTTTATATATGTTTTTAGTTGTTTTTTGAAAATGGCTAAAGACTCAGCTGTTCGAATTGAGAGCGTGAACATTTGGGCGGCGTTATGCAAATCTTCCCACATCATAACATAGACATGTGGGGGCGTGTTCGAATGAGCCGTTTTAGGTAGGGCATGGCTGACTCTTAACTTTTATAAAGAATATCTCTTTGGATTTGAGACTTTAGTCTTTGCAACTTTACAGATCTTCTTCATGCACCAAGAGCTTGTAACACTTCAAAGAGAAAGGAAAAATTGAAATCGCATCATATGACCCCTTTAAATAATAGAATGGAATAGAACAGAACAGAATAGAATAGGTAAGTGCTAGTATTAGTTGGTCAGGTGATGGCGAAAAAATTTAGTTTTTATATATGTTTTTAGTTGTTTTTTGAAAATGGCTAAAGACTCAGCTGTTCGAATTGAGATCGGGAGGTCATTCCACCAGCTGGGCACAGTCCAGGAAAAGGTCCTTGAGAGTGATTTTGAGCCTCTTTGGGATGGCACCACAAGACACCGTTCACTTGCAGAACGGAAGCTTCTGGAGGGCGCATAAGTTTGAACTAGCGAGTTTAGGTATATCGGTGCAGTGCCAGTGGTTGTCTTGTAAGCAAGCATCAGTACCTTGAATTTGATGCGAGCGGCTACTGGTAGCCAGTGTAACCTGATTAAGAGAGGAGTAACATTAGCTTTTTTTGGCTCATTGAAGACCACTCTCGCTGCTGCATTCTGGATCAGTTGCAGAGGCTTGACAGTACATGCGGGAAGGCCCGCCAAGAGAGCATTACAATCAAATGAACACTTCACTCTTAGGCCCATTTTGTTATGACAATCCTACAAAAATAACTCCCCTGAACACAAGATAAAATAAGAAGGGCACTCTGGAAGCTTCTGATTGTTCCAGGAGATTGTTGAGGGCCTTTTCCTTGTCCTCTTCCTCCATTATAAGGAAAAAAGGCTCTTCCACTGGCCCCCTGAGCAGATGTCTGTTGTAATGGAGCCATTTCACAACTTCTGTCTGGGATTACTGGGATCTCCTTCATTACAGAATATTAAAAGGCACATGTAACTTCAATATTTCTTATTAATGTGTGTGTGTGTGTGTATATATATATATATATATATATATAAAATAGATATAGATAGACAGACACACACGTAGATAGATAGATAGATAGATAGATAGATAGATAGATTTGAGACATACCTCACAAGCGTAGCCTGTTATCCAATTGGAAGGGCTTCTTGTAGGGTTTCTGCACTGTAATATACGTGTATCTTGGTTCATTTCAAATTGGTCAGAAGGGGGTGCAAATGTAATGGTAGACTGGAGGAAATGTCCAGTACCTTTCAGAGAAAACTCCACAGTTCTCCAGAAGAATAAGAGTCCACCATCTCCGTATGATTGGAATGTCACACTGGATACACAAACACAGATACAAATTTAAATATCAACTGCTACAACATCATAAAGGTAAATTACTTTAACTGATAACTACTTACAGATGCAAAATCAAAAGGTGCTCCCAAGACAAGATGTACAAAAATAAGAATATTCTCCCTGTAAATGGCACAAAAAACCTTCCTTGTTCCTTATTTAACAACTAAATAATCACACCAATAA